TTTGGAGGGGACACCAAGCCGGCCTTGGGAACCGCCCATCAGGGGGGACACATCAGCCCAGCCTAAGGACCAGCTGGGGCCACCTTCACCTCCTGGCTCCCTGCTGCTAAATCGGCTTTGCAGCCCTTCATAAACGGTGAAAAGCTCCTTATTTGTATTTAATGTTGAGGCTTAACATTCCCTTTCCCTGTGAGCGCTGCATGCATGTCAGAGGAGTCAGAGAGGATGAGGAGAGCAAAAGGTCCAGGAAAGCTCTCGCCTGATGGTAAAGGACAGTGGGACGCATCCTTGGAGGGGACACCGGGCAAAAGAAATGCACCCTGAATAACAAATGGATTTTTTTCTGCGGACCAACCCTTTGTGCTCTGCTGCCAGGGAAGTCCAAGACAGCAAATTTTAACCTAATAAGTACCCAGCCTGCAGAAATGGCCTGTGTCAGACTGTGACGGGTCAGACCGAGCTTCCGAGCTTTCACATCCCCCAAAGGACCAGATCCTGAACGTTCCTGTTTGGCCACACCGGCATTTAAAATCTCCCAGACAGACTCAGGAAAGAGAGAATCATTTACAGCTTAGGACATAATTCAATTTCTAGCTAATGAAGGTTAAAATATATTTATAATTGCTTTCTCATATCTTCTGGCTGCTAAGTGTTTAATACAAGAAGATTTCTAATGATACGACGGTCTTTAACCTCAATAAACGGTTTACACGATCCAGTGGCTGGCAGCTGAAGCAAGATAAATTCAAGCTAAAGATACAATTCTAATGTCGAAGAGCAAGTGTAATTAAGCTCTGAACATTTTAGAAAATCTACTTTAGTTCCAGCTGTCTCATAAGGTCTTTTAAGTCAGGGATGGACATTGCCTTAAAAATACGCTTTGGCTCAGCCAGGAGGAAGGGCTCCCGAATCCGGAGTTCCCGGGGGAAGCGATTTGCTTTGCATATGCAGGAAATTGAGTTGTATTAAGACGGTCGCTGCCTTCCTCTTTAAAAGGTGGCATCACAAATTCTTTCTGGAGTGGCAAACCTGTTGTGAATAACCAACAAGTTCCTAACAAACTTAGCATTTACAAAACTGTATCGCTTGCTTTTAATATTAAAAAAAAAAAAATGTAACACCTGCAGCTCGAGGTTTACCTTTAGCAGAAGAAATGGTGTGATAACATTGTAAGCCATGTGGAAATAATCTCCAGCACTCGGTTTGTTTAGAGGAAACCACTCCAAAGGTAGGATTATCTGAGGAGGGGGGGGAAAAAAAGCACATCAGTACATCCTCAGCACCCAGCTCGCGATTACAGCCCCGTCACAGGGAGAGAGAAAATCCTCGCTTTGGACTGCTGCTGCTTGCTAATTGTCAGCTTGACTTCGCGTAGCTGTTAGTAACGAAGTTGAGCGGCTCTTCCTGCAGTGAAGCATCCCTAAGAGCGCAATCTGGAAGTGGGTGCTAAACGCACAGCGTATTTACATCTCAGCTGTTCGCTCCGGCAGCGCTGCCCAAAGCCGAGGCCGTGAAGTTGTGTGGCCAAGCGAGCGAGCGAGGCATTTGGAGTTCTGCAGCAGCAGATCGCCGTTAACCCTCTGCCATGTGCGGGCACCAGCAATAAAAAATTACATTTGAGGGTAATGGCCACTTCTGCCCTGCGCTGTCTGGAGAGTAGGAGTCCCCAGCTCGGGAGATACAAGCGAGGTATGGGGAAGAGCAGCAGGAACCTCTCCAGGTAATTTTTGTTATGCGAACATAAAGTTGTGGGATAAATGACATGGAACGAGTTTCCCAGACACCTTCCCTGTGACTGAGAGCGACACGCTTGGTACCAGTTACCCACACCAGTACATTGCAGTGGTCCTCATCTCAAGGACAAGCTCCTCAAGGGCGTCCCTTTGCTGTAGCAAACAGCCCGTGGGTCTACAGGGGACCACCACAGCTCTGCCCCCCTGTCCTCCACCCTAAATAAGTTGAGTGCAAGCAAAGCAGCGGGCCGTCCTCCGCCACACTCACCATCGCAATGGGACGCCCAAAGTCCAGCACCCAGTTCTGCAGAGTGAAGTAGAACCACAGATCAAAATGGAACGGGGAGGTCTTGAAGGTGTCCTCGTTCTTGACTGCTCCATGCCTAAAGGTGACAGAATTGACAGCGTCAGCCTTAAGCCGTGCCACAGGCTTCCGAGGAGGCAGGGAGCAGACTCCAGGTCTGCATCCCCCCCCAAAACCCGCACTTCCCTGGCTGCCAGCGTGTCTCCGGGCTTTGGGATCTGTGGAATAACAAGGTTGAGAGGCCAAAGAGAGGAAGAGGCAGGACAGAACGGCAAAGCGTTGTTCATAAAAACTGGCGCATCCCCAAAAGAAGGCTCTTCCTGGCCAAGAAGTGAGCACAAAAGCAGGAGGAAAACCTTATGTGCTGAATTAAGTGCAACTATTTTTAACTTTTGCATGACAAAGCAAAATTCAACTCCCGTGGCACTTCTGCTGAACGCTAAAATTGCATCGGTGCCTGCTGGTACCCAAGCACAGGGATGCTCTGGACGCACCATCACCTTCATCCTCCACGCTGAAGATCCTCCTCCTCTGCCTCTGCAGAGCGAGGCCTGATCCAACCCTGCCGAAGTCTTTCCATCAAGAAAGAGAAGTGGATGAATCGCTCTCCTGCCGTGCCAAAATCAGAACAGTGTCAGCTGGATCAGCCACAAGCTTGCGCTCCCTGAGCCCGGGGCCCGAACCCGATGGATGGAGGAAGGGGATGGTGGTGCCCTGGACAAGTCGGGGTGCCCTGGACCAGCGGGGAGAGCTGTGGCTCCTGGGAAGAGGCTGTCAAACCCCAAACCAGCTGGGGTGACCCAGGTAAGCCAGGATGCCCCGGCCAAGCGGGGGGGACCCCACGTGCGGCTGGAGGACCCTGACCCCCCCCGGACACCCTGGGCAACCGCAGCGCC